TATTTATTAACAACATAAATGTATTTCAACATGTTTGTGGGTGCGTGGCTGCGTGCATGTGTGTATTTCAACATAAACTAAAAAACTGTTGCCTATATTCTCGTTTATATATATACATATATATATATATATATATATATATATATATATATATATATATATATATATATACTTTATATTTATAAAGTTATTGTATAATGATGGTTTGTTCTGTAGACTATCGAAAAAAAATTGTATAAAGGGGCTAAAAACTTTGTCCCTAAAATGGTTTTTAAAAAATGAAAAACTGCTTTTATTCTAGCCGAAATAAAACAAATAAAGATTTCACCAGACGAAAAAATATTGTCAGACATACTGTAAAAATTCCCTTGCTCTGTTAAACATCATTTAGGAAATATTTAAAAAAGAAAACAAAAATTCAAAGGGGGGCTAATAATTCTGACTTCAACTGTATATATAAACTAAATACGACCTCAAGTTTTATACGTTTACAGCCTCTGCAACTTCCGTCCGTCATAAAAATCAATTTGGATGGTTCGATTTTCTGCATTTTTCACATCCGTTGCAATTATTTTGAGGGATGTTATTGACAATTGAGGGCCACCAAATGACGAATATAAAAAAACAAATTCGCCAGTTTTGGACTCAGTCAGGGTACAAGGACCTTAAACTTTTGAGGCTTGCGCAGCTTCTCGAGGAGAAATCAAACAAATGAGCGCCGTTTTCCAAAGTTTATGAGCGCAGCACACACAAATACTGCACATAAAACTGCAGTAACATACTGCAGTTAAATTTCAAAATGTGGTGTTTTTCTATTTATAACATTTGAATACACTTTCAGCAACAAACAGTAGATCACACGACCTGACGACCAAGAGAGCTGACAATTAACCATCACTTAATTTACCATCACCTCACGATTGAAAATGAAACACTGCTTTAATATGATGAAATTAAATCAACAAATAAGTTAATAATATTGAGTCACTTATAATTTTATGAAATAATGACTGTTTTGGTCTATTTTAGCAGAGAAAATGGATCCGAATAATCCAAACAAAGATCACAAATTTGAGTTTTATTATATTTTCTGTTATTTTTTTCTCCCATCCTGTAGCCTACTCGCGCTCCCCTGCAAGTGTGGCGCCCACCGGCTGAAAACCACTGCTCTAAGGTGTAGAGAAAATGGTCCAAATAGACACCATCTCTTGTTAGTGACAGTTTTGTTGTCAGTTTTGACAGGCTGTACCTGTTAAAATACAGGTACAGCCTGTCAAATACAGGTATAGCTGGTGACTGCATTTGATTGCTAGTTGAAAAGTGGTAAAAGAACAAATTAACAGTGAAAAAATAGCATAACTACAACAAATAGGTCAAAAAATGTGATTAAAAACATGGTATAGAAAAATTAGATTTTGATAAATGGGAAGTGAACTTTTAAATGATAAACAGAAATCCCTGACTTTCAATGTCTGGAAAACATCTTTTAAATTTCCATGACATTCCAGAAATCTCCATGACTCTTGGGAACCCTGACCACTATCTCTATGTTAATGCCATCTTGTGGTAAATCACAATTGTAACGCAGAGAATCACTGACCTGTAAGATTTGATCAATGTATGGCAGCGATCGAATGCAGGAGACAAACAGAACAGGATACACTGATCGAAAAACACCACAGAGTTCAGCCTCCAGCAACAAAAGAATAAGCCCAGCTGAATATGGGACAAGCCACAATCAATTACTGTCAGCGTTAAACTTTAAACAACATTACATAACTGTTCACAAAAAAAGCTTTTCAGGGGGGAAAGAAGAGGACGGAAAGTCTTGCATTATCTCTGTCTCTCAGACAATAGTTCTAGTATGAGAAAATAGCCCCTTTATTGATCTCATTCAAAAAAAAAAAGAAGATAAATGTGAAAATAACATACATTGTTGTACTTATGAAGATTATCATTTAAAAAAAAAATATTAAAATTACTAAAATGCATCAAACTCCAAAACAATTAGATGACATTGCATTCCTCCCAAAAGACTTCCTGATGAAGCTACACTCACCGGCCACTTTATTAGGTACACCTGTCTAACTGCTCGTTATGCAAATTTGTAATCAGCCAATCACATGGCAGCATCTCAATGCATTTATGCATGTAGACATGGTCAAGACGATCTGCTGCAGTTCAAACCGAGTATCAGAATGGGGAAGAAAGGTGATTTAGGTGACTTTGAACGTGGCATGGTGGCATGGCTCCACAGTCACCAGACCTCAATCCACCTTTGGGAATGTGGTGGAACGGGAGATTACCATGATGGATGTGCAGCCGACATATCTGCAGCAACTGCGTGATGCTATCATGTCAATATGGACCAAAATCTTAGGGGAATATTTCCAGTACACCTTGTTGAATCTATGCCACGAAGGATTAATGCAGTTCTGAAGGCAAAAGGGTGCCCAACACGGTGCTAATAAGGTGTACCTAATAAAGTGGCCAGTTTATGTGTTGTATTTTAGTCTATGACGTACCAAAGACACTAAATGATTCATGTTGGATGACAAGGTTTGTGTGCAATATTTATCACAGCCAGTTGAATTATTTACATAAACAAGCAGTGCTGTTGCTCGCATGAGTGTTGGGCGTGTACACATGGCCTGGAGTCTGAGCTGATGCCTGTAAATGTGAGATCTGATTCTGTCTATCAGTAGATGACTTTCTCATTGTGTGCAAAAGTGTGTGGTGTTTCTCACTCTTTATTTTGGGAAGTAAAAGGTCATTTGCAACCCATTTACAGCACTGATTTAAAATACATAAAATTAAAACAGCACTGTATTTTTGTTTTATGTTTTTATTTCTATCTATCTATCTATCTATCTATCTATCTATCTATCTATCTATCTATCTATCT